GACCTGTCTTTCTAAAATATATCTCTGTTTGACCTTGAAAACATACCTAATGTGACTAATTAGGCTTGACTGTAATAGGTGACTAATTACACTAGCCTATATTTCCTTATTAGCTTATAGAGTTGGTAATAATAAATTTCAAGGACTAGAAATTTGCATTACATTGCTAAATGAGTTATATGGGTACAATAACTTGAACAAGATTAGAAATACATATACAGTATGTTTTAACAAAATTAGCCTCAAATTTGTATCAATATAAATATACAGAAGTCCAATCCAATGTAAAATATTTAAAACTAGTAATTGCTTTTTGGAAGTAGATTCAATAATCTACCTTTTATCTTATCAAATCTATATCCTCCTTTTTTACTTTTTAGAGTAGATTCAATATTCTATCCATTTTATCCTATCATATCTATATTCCTTTTTTTTTTAAACAAAAATCTTGAATCTAATCCCCTTTGTTCAACTTTACTCCTGACTGTAACAACATTTTGTAACCAATCCCCCTAAACAATGACAAATATCCATAACCCAACAAGTGACCAAAAATCACCCACTCCACCTCTTGGGAATGTGGGCATCATGTTCTTAAAGTTTCTTCCTGTTATCTGGGGTTATAGCATCTGTAGGGGATCCTTAAAAGAAAAAATTGGGTTAACCGTCAAGCTGTATCACTTTTGACCAATCTCTACATAGTGGGAAAGGGCAAGGGTGGCCTCAAGTCCTGGCTAGAGTAGTCTGTGAGGCTGGATCACCTCATTAGCCTCCTCGAAATCACTCTGAGCAGTGTCTGTGATGCTGTATCACCTTAGTTGATCTCCTCAAAATTGTTCTGAGCAGTTTGTAGTCCAAAACCAATACTTAGTTGGAGTTATCATAGTCCTGGTGGAATTGCTATCTGTGGGTCCTGTCTTCTTTTGTTGTTGTTTGTTTGTTTGTTTGTTTGTTTGTTAATTTTGTTGTTTTGGTTTTTGAGACAGAGTTTCTCTGTGTTAGCAGTCCTGGCTGTCTTGAAACTCATTTTGTAGACCAGGCTTGCCTCAAACTCACCGAGATCCAATTTCATCTGCCAAGTGCTGGGATTAAAGGCATTTGTGACCTCTGCCAGGCTTGGATCCGGTCTTCTGTTTGGAAGATTCAGAGATCTCATTATGTCAGATTATTTCTTTTCTTGGTAATTTTTTTCTGGGTAGTTCTCCCTTCCTCTTTGGATACTTATTTGTTCAAAGGTCTTAAATTCCTCAAGATGTTTGTTTTTATGTTCCTGAAAAGACAAAAACAAAACCCTTTCCCATCCCTAACTTTGGGAAGTTCCTAATCTAATCTTCATCAATTTGATTTATGGTTTTTCCTGAAATTTTTGTTTTAGCTTCCAAAGCTCTTCTGTCATTCAGAGCAACATGTTTTCTTACAGCAGGCATTAGGTTCTTTAATTGCTCCGGGAAGGAGTTTCTACAGTAACAGGAAACTACTGAACTGGATTTGGCATAGGGGAGCATGAGAGGCCCCTCAAAGCATTTCCCAAAAGCAAAGGATTACTTTGAATGTCTCTTTTTGATCTACATTCATTAGTTCAATGCCTGCCTTTGCCACACCAGAAGGGAGGAGCATTCTGTTTGAATTATATTTAGAAAAAGCATTGTTTCTAGGAATGCCTTATTTACAATCCCTTTTCTAGCAATCCTGTTTGCCACACAACATTTGAAATTTCCATTTTTCTTTAAACCCTTGAAATTAACCCACGTATCATCATCATGGTCATCAGCTTCAGTAATAATTGTATCTTGGATCTAATCCTCCAAAGGGGCTGACTTTACTTTTAAAGGTCTAATTATCCTTTTACATTGAGAATTAGCATTTTCAAAAGCCAGAATTTCAATTATTATTTTTCTATCTTCTTAATCCGATATCATTCTGTTTACTGCTGAGGCCAGCCCTTGACACCCTGAAGGTAGGGCTTGGAACAGTGCTACCAAACACTGCCAGGACTTGAACATCCTCTCTCCAACTGCAGCTCAATATTAAAGCTGAACTTTGCACAATCTGCTTTGTCCATCTCTCAAGGAACAGTTGCCGATGGTCTACAGGATGGTGGCTAAGGGAAACCTTATAAACCACACCTCCTGCTAAAAGCGATCCCACCAACTCCTGAATCCTTCCTCTCCATATCATCCCTGGGAAGAAGGAAGAAGCCATACTTAAACCAAGATATGCATAACCAGGGAGGCTGGGTTGTTGCATGGGAACCCTAATGGCTTCTGTATCTATAAAAAGAGTTTAGAATGTTTGGTAGTCCTGGTCCAAACCTGCCCTCAAGTTCTGTGTCTTTTCTGCTCATTTAGTCCTGTAACTCAGGATTTGGTAGCCAATCAGAGATTCAAGCATAGACACCAGTCATAGGGGAGGTTTCTTCCCAGTCTTATATGAGGTGCCTTTGGTACAGAGTGTGAAACCAGAAGGTGGAGAAGCTTGGGTTGGCGTCACTCTTGCTCCCATTATCTCTTTCCTCTCCCTTTCTCTTTCCTCTCCCTTTATAAATAAATAAATAAATACATGAAGGCTTCCTTTGGGCCCTATATAACTTTTGTACATTACTCAATTTTTTTTCCTACTTCTCCAGTTCTGTCCAAGTATTCAAAGCTGCTGCATGGCATAAACCCAAGAGGTGATCATCATACAGACATTGCCTTTCTAAAGTAGAATAATCTCCTTCTCCAAGATTTGATCTTGGGAAATATCCTCAGCAGAAACAGCTGCCATGTCCCTGTCCTGCATTTTTTATAACCTCTGAGCATAAGGAATGATAGCTTCCTGCTGAAAGGCTACACTTCCCAGCTTCCCTTTTGGACCATGGAAGTAGTTTCTGACCCTGTAAGGGACTGCATCCCATCTACCTCTGTAAGCCTTTTGGCCATCCATACACGCCAATGACAAGATGCTCCCTTGCCAGGAATGAGCATGGTCCACCTATGGTCAGAGCAAGCCTTTCTCCCTTTCCACCTTCTGTCTCTCTACAGCTGCTGTTTACTAATTGAACAATCACAATGCCCACATGACACAGAGGAGAACCTGTGTTAGACAGTGATAGTAAACAGGTTGACATAAGAGTCCTCTGTCAGGGGCTGGTGGTCAGCCTTGGGTCAGTCACCTCCCTGAGGCTGCTTGGATCCCGTTAGTAAAGGTCCCAGGAGCGAAGCAGCCAGCAGCTGGAGTAGCTCCAGTGACAGCAGCAAAAGGCAGCACAGCTTGCTGGCCAGAGCTCCTGGAGGAGATGATGCTGGCATAAGCTACGATGGCTGGAGCTGCCGGGAGCAGCATTTCCCAGATCCTGTTCAGATTTATGATACAAATTCTGTCATGTTTCCTTTTGTGGGTGTACTGTTCCATCCGAAGTCGAAGCTGCTGTCACCTAAGCCAATTCCTACTGCAATGAATTTGAGGACACTCTCCTCCTTGGAGGGTATCAAGGGCTCCAGACATTGGGAGAAGTTTCCCTTTAAGCTACAAAAGGAATTAAGAATGGCACATATGGTCCTCTCCGTGAGCAGAACAGAAAGGGATTGTTCTTATTTTATGTATATTACTGCCTGCATGTATGAATGTGCACCGTATTCATGCCTAGTGCCCTCAGAGACAAGAAGAGACCATCAAGTCCCCTGGAACTGGAGTCACAGGAGGTTGTGAGCTGTCATGTGGGTGCTGAGAGCCAAACCCTGACCTTCTAAAAGGATAACCAGGGCTCTTAACCACCCATCCATCTCGCCAGCACCCCCAAAATATATGTTGATTAATAAGTTAGAAAACATAACATGGGAAGGCTGGCACCTAAATGCCCACATGTCAGGAGGGGCTCTGTCACTACCCTGGCCTCGGCTCAGTCCCCAGAAGTTAGACATGAATAAGAGAACAAGGAATGTGGTAAAGACAGGAGGTGTGGCTCATCAGCGCAGGAGAAAATTGGAAGCTAGAGTGAGTCAAAGCTACCCTGATCTTGGCTGGAACACTTGAGGTGTACCCCCACAGAAACCTGCTTCTAATCCATGTGTCAATCAATCTCGCCTTAACTGGCCTTTCAGATTTCTTCCCTGTATCTATCTGCCTTTGCTCAACGCGGTATCTTTCCTGTTCTTCCTGTCTACAGTGATCCTGCAAAGCTCTTCATGCAGCTTTGGTTGTATCCACCTAGCCCAGCAGGGTACCAGTACCAACTAAACAACATGCTTTCTCTCCCTGTCATCAGAGAGCTTGCTGTGCCATTCAGTCGACCTAGTTTTTCTCACCAGAGAACCAGAGTAAGATAACTAGGGGACGGACACACACACACACACACACACACACACACACACACACACACACACACACACACACACACACACTTTAGGCTTATATCGGACAAAGATTGGGAGAGGGACCTGGAACTCACTATGTAGACTAGGCTGGCCTTGAACTCGCTGACATTCACCTACCTCAGTCTCCTAGTGCTGGGATTAAAGGCATGCAACACCACACCTGGCAACAATGTTTCTGTCTTAATAGAATTTTCAATTCTGTCAGGAAGACTGTGTCTAGCACTAAGACAAATGTTGCAGAGACCCAGCGTAGGGGAGGTCACGGTCATTTCCTCAGTGAATGAAGTTTGCAGTCAACTCTAACAAATCATTTACCAGGTAGCCAAAGCCTAGGCAGAGGATAAACGGGGTCAAGTGTTGGGCAGGAAGTGTATATTTGCAACAAAGATTGGCAGGTGGGAGGGTAGGTCAATTCTGTCCCAGGTCTGACGCCGCCAGAGCCAGTGCATTACCATTTCAATCTGCCCTGACGGGCCGGAGGCTCTCCCCTAGACGTTTAGAGGAAAGCAGGGGCTTCGCACAAAGGTGCATCTCTTTAGACCAAACGCCGATCGGGGCCAGAAGCAGAAGCGGTGCGAGTTACCACGAGAAACACGCTCGCCGCACGGCGGCCGCGTACGGCCCGCCCCGGAAGCGGAAGTGCACGCGAGGTCAGGTGTGTCCCCAAGATGGCGGCCCTCAGGGCTCTGGTGTCGGGCTGCGGGCGGCAGCTTCAAGGGTTCCTGGCAGGCCCCGCCGCGACCGGCTGGCCATGGCTTCCAGCTCGTGGGTTGAGAGAAGGTGAGTGTCAGGACCCAGGGACCTCTAGCACTTGACAGCGGACTCCGCCAACCCCGGTGTGCCCCTCCCTGTCTGCACGATTCTGGGACGGCGGAGGTGCGGTCCTCCACGGGGCGTCTAAGAGCCCTTTCAGCCCCTGCGCGGCTCCCGAAAGGAAAGGAGGACTGAGAAAGGCCTGGCCATTTGGAGATCGAAAAAAGAAAGAAAGAAAAAGAGAGGGTCTCAGAGTTCAGCAAAGCTAGAAAAGGCTGAATGCTAATTCTCTCATGTTTTCTAAATCGCCTGCTCATTGATTAAAGCATGCCCCAAAGCCTCCCCTTTCCATTTCTCTTCTGAAAATGTGACTGGGTAGCGCTTTTTTTATTATTATTATTTTTTTATTTTTTGTCTAGGCTACTAATCTGAGAGATGGCAGCCAAGGTGCAAAGGCAATTGAACAACTAAGTCAGAAGCAAGTGCTAAGTGTTCGTTCTGCATTTCATCAATATTAAATCAGGAAAAGTAACCCAATTCGGCCATCGACCGAGAGGTTAAGTTGTGAAAGGGTTGGAAAAGAAGAAAGCACAGCCTTTCTGTGAAGCTTGGGTTCTAATGAGATGTGTGTACATGCCCCGATAAAGAAAGTTATCTATTTGAATGAAAAAGTACAGTAACGTTCATTACTGGAAATAGCAAAAAAAATTATAAAGAATATGCTTGAACAGGCTCGTAAGGGGGTGAGGTCTGGCAGAATGAAAAGGCCTTTGGGTATATAACCTTTCTGTGTTCTGTGGAGTAATATGCCAGAGAAATGATGGGACAGGGGCTTGTTTTTAACATTCTAGCACAGTGTTGGCCAACCAGTGAATATCAGTCAAAGTTGAGAAGTAACCAATTGGAAAGAGTCATCATTATTGTTGGAGGGAGCAGGGGAAAAAAAGGAGTCATTGAATCAAAGCAAAGACCTCGGCCTTCCCAGTTACATAATCAGTAATCATAAACCATTATACACAACTTAGAAAAGGTCTCTTTAGTTTCAAATAGTAATTTCATTAAGAGTGGCAGATAAGGGCCTGGTGACACTATAGAATGCCCTTAATCCCAGAGCTCTGGAAGCAGGCAGATCTGAGTCAAGGCCATTCTGTTCTACAGAAAGAGTTCCAGGACAGCCAGGGCTACGCAGAGAAACCCTGCCTTGAAAAAACCAATAAACAAAAATAAAAACAAACAAACAAAAAAAACCTGTTTTTGACTTTTGAGACAGGGTCTCACTATATTGCCTTGGCTGACCTGGAACTTGTTGTATAGACCAGGCTGCCCTTAAACTCATGGAGATCCACTCGGCCTCCTGAGTGTGGGCTTAGAGGCATAGTCTACCATACAGGCTTTGGACACAGTTCTTTACTGTGTGTGTGTGTGTGTGTGTGTGTGTGTGTGTGTGTGTGTGTTTAAACTAGTTATATAGTTTTATCTTTGAAATGATAAAGATCAAAAGGTTTCTTGTATGACTAGCAGTTTGTATGGTATGTAGGGGTTTTTGTTTGTTTGTTTTTGGTATGTAGTTTCTTGTATAATTAGTTGGTTTAAAACAGAAATATCCAAATACTTAAAAAACTTGTTGGTTTAGACAGAGTTTAGCTAATTAACCTTGGGTGGCCTTTAACTTTCTAGGTAGACCAGGCTGGCCTCAAACATCTGGCAGTCTCCCTGCCTCGGCCTCCGAGTGCTGGTATTATAGTCATGTACCACCATACCCAGCAAGAAATTTTTTTTGACTGGAGAGTTTGTATAATGGTGAGCTATACAATCAGTGTTTAGAGTCGTCTTCTCTAGGAATCCTTGGTAAATCTCCTGTCTAGGAGCCACTGCTTAGCCAGCGGGATCTCAAGGCTAAATGTTAAATTGAATTGTGCTTTATGTGAAAGCCCTGTCGTGTTTTATATATTCTCTTGAGTCCCACACCTCTAACCGTCTAAATGAACCGTGTGGTACTCTGCCTTTTGGTATGGCGCGCACAGCTGGTTTTCATTGGTCTAGCTAGTGTACTTGTCACTCAAATATCATTGTACATGTAAAATTAAAAGCTGTAGCAAACAAGTTGATTCTCTTGCTAAAAATATCCCAGCATCTTGTTTTTCAAAGATAAAACTTCATAACTGTAGCAAGAATTCATGGGGCTTGGAATCAAGAGAAAAAAAAGGCCTCGTGAGGACGGAGCACCGGTGTTGTCGCTGTAAACTTTCGGTCTGATGCATTGCTTCTCAGTCAGGGGTGGTCATCCATCCCCTTTCCCACCCCCAAAACATTTGGCAGTGTCTAGAAACCTTTTTGGTGTCACAACTGGTACTGCCAGCATCTGGTGAGTGCATCAGGATACCGTTGTGTGTCTTACAACACACATGACACCTCCACAACAGAGAACCCAGTGGCCCAAAATGTCAGTAGTCCTGATGTTGGGACAGCTTGATCTGGTTTGACAGGAGGGACAAGCACGGTGCACACCTTTAGTCCTGGCATCTGCCTGGCATCTGGGAAAGGAGCCGAGGCAGGTGATCTCTGTAAATTGTACGGTCAGCATGGCCTATGTAGAGAGTACTAAGCCAGCCAGAGCTACATGGCGAAGCCCTGTCTCTGAGACCCGCCATGTGTGTTTGAGTGTGTGGGGGAACATACGAGCCCAAAGTGAGAATGAGTGGGTTTTGGAAGAAGCAGGCCTGAAGGGGACAGATGAGGGAACTGTGACTTACTTAGTCCTCTTCCAGTAACACATGTAAAACATGGGCTCCATCTTCCCTAAAGGTGGTCATTAGCTGTCTTTATTCTGATGAATGGGGGAACCCAGTTCTGAAGATTCAGTGGCTCACCTGACATGGGCTCCAAGTTGTAGAGTTGCAAGCAAAGGCAGCACCACCTGTCCAGTGTCGCACAACCCTGGTGCTCATGGCAGGTCCTCGCTTCTGTCCCCTCCTTTTCTGAAAGGCTCTTAGCAGTGAACTTGCCAAAGATCATCTAATGAGAGGAAGGAGCAAGTTGGGGGGTTTTCAGATTTCAGTGCCCTGCTACTGGGGAAAGGTGGTATGGAGCAGCGAGACTCTGAAGCCCAGGACAGACGGACATTCCATCAGGAATTGCAGGGAGGCGATTGAGAATGAAGAGGCAGTTAGAATCCCGGAACCCTGAAGCAGAAAGGTGAGCTGAAGGAGCTCGTGCTTGCGAAGCAGGCAGCGAGCGGGAGCACAGGGCTCTGCTGCGACAGCTGGGCAGAGGGCTGCCTTCAGCTGCCCACTCTCACTCTGGCTAGATCAGTTTCCACGGACCCTTGCCCGAGGCCTCCCTGTTCTCCCTGCAATTCCTGACGGAATGTCCGCACCCCTCCGTCACTCACTTCCCTCCCTGCCTCCTGAACAGCCGAGTCTTTCCACAGCCACGGTCCGCTGTGTCGGCCTGTGTTTATGTGCCCATCAAGGGCTTCTGCATCCATTGCAGTCTCACCGAATCGCTGCCGGCTCCAGGCCGTTGTAACTCGGTTATCTTGGACTCCGTCCTAGGAGTATTTACTGAAGTACTCACAGGGCCTCTTTATGGGACGTGGGCTTCCTTACAGGGAAATTCCCATACTTGTTTTCCTTCCCTCCTCCAGAGCAAACACTGTGCCTGACTCTGCTGCTGTTCCTCTGCCCAGGAGGATGAGCGAGGCTGCTACCCACTTCTGAATCTCAGCGCACATGCGACAGATCACGTCATGTGTGTGAGGGGTGTCTGCCTTGAGAGGTTGCAGCTTTAGTTCGCCTTAGAAAGCAGTGTCCTGTCTGGTGCCTTACTTTATGCTGACATATGTCAGGATGCAGGGGTGGTTGTATTTTTTTTCTAAGTAAGTTTTCTATTGGTTCTTGAACCTTAGTCCAGCTTTTCTTACCCACCTCCATTTCTCTTGAATGGAGAGGGGGGCAGGGACAAATGGATCTCAGGTTTTGTTTGGTTTTGCCATGTTTTTCTATGCACGCTGAAAATCAATACTGTTTTTGATTCTTATCTCCTCTTTCCAGGGGCTTAAAATCTGCCGAGGGCCTCTCCAGGCCCCAGCCAGCCTTCGCTGCACTAACTCACCACCCTGATCAATCTGTCTCCTGGGAGTTCCTTGGGTCATGCCTCCGGTTTGACAGATTGTCTCTCTTAGATAAGCATCTGCCTATTGTTTTACCCACTAGCTTCTAGAAAGACACTCACTGGCTACAGGCTGCTGTGGGAGATTGTTAACAGCAGAGCTTGCCATGGGCTTTGATCTCTCTTCCAGGGGCCAGTGGGATGACTTCAGGGTTTGGGTCTTTGCCGAGAGTGATGTGTGTTTTGTTAGACTTGTTTACCTCAGGGTTAGGACCCAAGAGCCTGGACCAAGAAGGAAACCACATGTTTATGCTCTTTGTGTTTCAGGCCACTGTCCTCGTGCTGGCTCCGTGGTCCCAGAATGTCCCTGCTTTTGTTCCCTGAGGCGTCTCAGAAATGAACCCCTCTACCTGTTGTTGCTCCCATTTGGTCACCCTCCGGCCCTCCCCCCAATCTGTTTTGCATAGTAGCAAAGTATCTAGGGTAGCTGGGTCTCCTGGGCTGGAGATGTGTCCTCCTGCTCTCGCTGGCCCTGTGTGGGCCTTTCTGCAGTGGACATCGCCCTGACCTTCCCTCTGCAGCTGTGCTGGCTTCTAGGCTGACAACCAGGTTGAGTCTCACCCACATCCCGTTCATTGGTTGGTCTCTGTTCTGGACAAGTAGAACCGTGTGTGAGGTGACGCAGTTTCTAGTTTGTTCTGATTAGTGGCTACAGTGTTCGTCGGAGAAAGCCTCTGGGTTTCACTTATGAGTGTCTGGAGTTGGGCATGGGAGGCTCTCAGTTTGGTTGTTTTGGAGTAATGATTCTTTATGAATGGTTTGCCCAGAAAACAAATGAGGACTAATTCCAGGCAGCCTGTGTTCAATTAGGTGTCGGTCATAGAGCTCACTGATCACAGATGCTGACATGGGCTCTGGTTGGGTTGGCGTTGCCTTTTTTTTCCTTAGACTCTTCTCTTGTTATTGTTTATATTATGTATTTGCAGATGCAATATATGTTTATTTTAGAAAATATGGCAGGCCACAGACGTGTACCCCCTCCCACCTGTGAGGCACAGCTAGGTCTCTGACATATACCCCACGGTGCCTATGAGCCTCCTGCAGCATGGTCAATTGTGTAACTGCAGGTGGATATTTTTCCTAGGGAAAGATCTTTAGCTTCTGCCGAATTCTCAAAGTCAAGGACCTTAGGCACATTTCTAATCTATATTCCTTCTTGTGTTAGTCAGAGCTAAGTCAAACTAAACTGTGGTAGCCAAACTACTTCATAAACAGAGTTTTAGCATCTGGAGAGACGGTTTGCAGATTGTGTGGGCCCAAGCTCCCTACTGTAGTTAAAGGAGACAGTGGTGATTATGTCACTCCTTAAACACAGCATTTATTGAGCATTTGCTGTGTACCAGTTCCATGCTAGCAGCTGCGGCTCTCTCTTTCTAAACAAGCCAGGCACATGGGAGACTCTCCAAGAGCAGTTGCTTTGTGTGAGCTGGCAGCTTTGATTGCCACTGGCCTTGTCGTTCAGTATCCTAGTTAGGTGAGGTGGGAAATGTGTGTCGCCTGACAGATGTGTGCAACTGATGGTCTTGCCTCCTCTTCTCTCCTGCCAACTCAGTCATCAGTGGGCCCTGGGTTACCCTCGGTGTAGAATAGCAGTGTTCCCTGAAGCCCTGCTGAATCTGCTCTCTTCAGGCTCCTGATTGCTCTCTCTTCCCATCCCTTTCTCTGATGTGATAATAGAACATAGCCCTTTGGGGAGAGATGAAGAGGATGGAGCTGAGAACATTCCCCTAATGGCCAGTTTCATGTAGTCTTGACACGGGATTCTCAGGACACGTTTTGGGAATGGATTTGTCTCGTTGAAAAGCCACCACTCGAACACAGATAGGGTTGTGCTTTAGTTTGTAAACCCTTCAACGAAAAAGCCATTTTGATCTGATTCAGTCTGTAAAGGGACACGTGTAAGGGGTACTTTGATCCCTTTGGGCCTGCTGTTCCAAAAGCTTTTGGTTATTTTTGCCCATAGGGTAGGATCTTGTCCCTCTTTGCTTAAGTCTTTGAAAGAATCTTTCTTTGTAGCCCAGGCTGCCCTCAAACTTACAGCAATTTTCCTGCCACAGCTATTGTTTGCCAATTCTTCTAGACAGAATCAGGATAAATCTCAGCTTCAAAGGGCCAAAGAGACAGCATGGAGACCCTTAATCCCAGAGAGATCCTGCATCCTGAGCATCCCAGGCTTGCCCACAGCCAGCCTCAAGGGCATAGAATCTTGGCTCTTGGGGGTGAACCTTGCCCGCTTTCTGTCCCAGGCAGGGACCGTGGGAGAGTGCAGACTGAAGGCTCCTCTCCTTTGCCTGTGTAGAATTTGAGCTGTTATTTGAAACTCCCTGTTCCTTATTAAATGGCTGACCTAATTTTTCCCCTTTATCTCTGTAGTGGTGGAGATCCAAGAAGGGAAGACAACTGTAGTAAGTATCATTGCGCTGCCTTGGCCACTCACGACCTCCTTAACGCTTGGAGCCGCCTGGCTGCTCCTCTGAGGGAGGGAGGGAGAGAGGCCCAATCTGGACTCCTGGCTCCAGGATCTGCTCCCTCTGAGACCATAAATTCTGAAGTCTACTATTTTTCGGGCTGTGTGCCGTAGTGTGGTTAATCAAGAACAGTCGTTGTGCCTGTACTGAGGTATCTGTTACTTGATTGGAGTGACCTTTTGTATGACAAAGTCTCAGAGGCCTTTCCTGACATGTTCTCTGGCGGGTGATAAGTCAGTTTCCCAAAGGGGAAACTAAGGCAGAAATGCAGGTCTACAGAAGCAGAGATGGTTGTCCCAGAGCCAGGGCCTGGACTTCAGGTCCTTCCTTTCTGTCTAGAAAGTGTACCCTTGAGTGACATGTGAAGAGCTGACAGTCCCTAGGCCCTAACTTACACTGGCTCCCTGGCTTGTCTCTTGGTAAGAGAGCTGGAACGGTCTTCCACCCATGCCCCCCTTTCCCTTGCTAGGCCCATCTCACCTCCCCTGGGGAGTCAGTCATGGGGCCTAGATTATCCCGTAATCCTTAAAAGACAGCCTTGTTTTCACATGGTCTTCTATGCCTCCCAGAAATTCTCAGCCACCTCTCAGAGCTCCCAGAAGGCTCAGGAACTTCCATGTCAACCAGGGGCTTAACCTCTCTGGCAGCCAGCCAAGTACAGGCCTCCCCAAGGCAGTTTTATACCCAGGAGAAACCCTGTCATTCTCCCAGGATACCTCCTCGTCTTTCCCACTAGTTAGCCTCCACCTAAAGCTTACTTTTTAGGGAACTCCATCCCCTTTTGGCATCTCTGCAATTCTCTGATCAAAACCTAAAATAATCCTGGCGTGATTGTGTATGTCTGCAATCCCCGTACTTGCAGAATCAGGAGGAGTTCAAGGCTATCCTCAGCTATATAGTGAGTTCAAGGCAAGCCAGGGCTACATGAGATCCTGTCTCAAATGACAAAAAAAGCATTCACCCTAAAACTTTATGCTGTAGAAAATGGTACTGTCAGACTTTTTTGTTTTTGTTTTTTGAGATGGTTTCTCTGGGTAGCCCTGGCTGTCCTGAAACTCTCTCTGTAGACCAGGCTGGCCTCAAACTCAAGAGATCTGCCTGCCTCTGCCTCCCTAGTGTTAGGACTAAAGGCGTGTGCCACCACACCCAGCCTGACATCAGACTTTTGAAGTGGCATCTTGCTTCTGCTTTTCTGGGTATAGACAGAGTGCTCAGTGCTAAGAGAATGCCGCCTACCCACTGTATCTCCTGCTAATGCAGCTGTTGTCCTGGGCCCAGCCTTCTTCCTGGCTCACCAGAGTACCCGTTAGTCTTCTGTTGACTGTCTCCACTCCCTTGAAGACTATGGCAGACCATCCCTGCCTATCATCTGCCATCTTCAGACTGTAGAGCCAGCTAGTTTACCGCCAGTAACAGCATCTGTAAGGGAAGCTGATGTGTTAGACATTCAGAATTGAAGGCTCGCTTCCCAGAGGATGGTGCTCTCCATATCTGACTTTTAAGTATAAAGAGGGTCTTCATGTGAGGCGTGGATCTGCTGCTTGTAGAGGAACATGGAGACAGACCCTGCAGCTCTGTCAGGTGCTGCAGGGCCTGACTGTGGGTGTATGTTCTCCAAAATCAGACCTGGCGTCTGCAGTGTTAAGTTGTGGGAGTTAGGTGAACTGGTACATGTGAACCATTCTTAGCACAGAACCAGCTGAATAACAGTGAGCCAGTGAACAGTGGCTCTCTCCTGGGGCCCACTAGGCCTCCCATGCTCCTGCAGATTTTCCTTGGCCCACAGCTTCCCTCTGACGTGTTTGGCGTTGCCATGGTAGAAGTGGGGGGTTGGTAGTGGTTCCTGACATAACTGAGCAGAACTTGCAGGCTTCCTCAGCCCAGGGGACAGAATTATTTTGTCCCTGTGCCTCTCAAATCCATCCCAGCCATGTTCTTAGGCTCAGCCTCAGCGAGGCCCGCTAAGCTGCTCCTGCAATTGGAGCTGACTCCCAGATCTTTGCTTTAGTACACTTAGCCATTCCAAGGCTGGGTCACAGGGTACAGTCATGACAGGAAGGTCATGTCACACGTGGCCTCTGCAAGGTATTTGAAAGGCATTATCCAAAATGATAGAAGTAAAGAGAGCTGTAATCCCAGAACTCAGGAAGCAAAGGCTCACTGCAAACGTGAGGCCCGCCTGGTCCTACAAGCCAGCTAAGTCTACCTAGTGGGACCCTGGCTTGTTTTAGAGGAGAGCGTGTATTGTGTTCATCTGCCCTTGTTTGTGGAGGAGAGAGGGGCAGCAGTATACACAGACACCCACTTGTCTGACTGTTCCAGGGCTTCTCAGCTGCAGCATTGGCAGGCGTTCTTTGTTGTAAGGGCTCCCCTGTGCATCCTTGCTAGATGCCCGTCACCCCCTCCCCCCAGCTGTTCAATCAGAAATGTCCTCAGACATGGCCAGACAGGGGCAAATACCTCTTATTGGAACCTGCTAGCACAGATAGGGCTCTGCCCCATAAAGCTGGAAGCAGTGCTCTGCAGATAACGTAGAGAATAGGTGAGCTTTCTTTGAGGAGTGAATCTCTATGCCATCTGGCACTTTTTTATATGTGTGTGTCTAGTTGTCTGTATGTGTACATGTGCATACAGCTGCCCTTGGAGGCCGGGAAAAGGCATCAGATTCCCCCGGACCTGGGGTGCTGGGAAAGCAAAGCCCAGCCCTCTGCAAGAGCAGTGAGTACTCTGAGCTGCTGAGCATCTCTCCAGCCCCATTTGGAACTTTTAACCGTGTGATGTGTCACCTTTCTGGAGGCGGGGAGGAAGCCTAGGGTTCAGGTATTTTATTGTGCTTTGTCGAGGAAGGAAAGATAGTATTCAGTTGGTGTGGCAAAGCCTTCCTTCTAGTTCAGCAGTCCTCAAACTGTGGGCCTCAACTCCCTAAGATGCTTATATTACACTTCATAACAGTAGCAAAATTGGTTATGAAGTAACAACAAAAATTTTATGGCTGGAGGTCACCACAACATGAAGAACTGTATTAAAGGGTCACAGCATTGGGAGGGTTGAGAGCTACTTACTACTCTAGTTTATCTGTCTGTTGATGTCATCGTTGCTCTTTGTCTGGTTTTTTGAGGCAAGAGTCTTACCATATAACTCTCTGCCGGCTTGGAACTTAATACTGTGTACCCCAGGCTAGCCTTGAACTTCTACTTCCCCTGCCTTTGCCACCCACTGCTGGGATTACCGGTATGCATCACTTGTGTGGCCAAGGCCCAGCACCCAGCAGCTAGAAACTCTCCACGTGCAAGCAGACCTGTTAGTTGCTGCCATGGGGCCCCCAGAAGTTGGCTGTGAGAGTTCATGGGGGTGTGCTCAGGTTAAAGGCCTGCGTGCCTGGCTCGGGCTCTCACCTTGCCTTTTTCCCTCTCTCTTAGATTGAAGGCCGAATCACAGAAACTCCCAAGGCAACTCCAAACCCCCCTAACCCCTCAGGCCAGTGCCCCATCTGCCGTTGGAACCTGAAGCACAAATATAACTATGAGGTGAGTGTGGCCATAGAGACCATCCCCCTGCATCCACTGGGGCCAGAGCCATCTTTCCTGAACGTTGTCCTCCTCGGGTAGTGACAGCTGCCTATCACGTGGCCATCAAAGACAACGGACCTGAGATCTGACTGTGGTAGGCTCTAAGAGGCTTTGAGAAGTACTAGGCAAAGCTCTGGTTAAGAGCACTGGCTGCTCTTCTAGAGAATGGGTTCGGTTCCCAGAGGACCCGACACCCTCTTCTGGCCTCTACAGGCACTGCATATACTTAGTATATGCACACACGTGCGCCCGAAATAATCTCAAAAATAAAAAGAAATTTGTGGCTGGAGAGACAGCTCAGTGGTTAAGAGCATTGTTTGCTGCTCTTGCAATGAACCTTACTGCAGCTCCTAGCACCTAAATGGTAGCTCACAACTACCCACAACTCCAGTTCCAGAGCAGCCAGTGCCCTGGTGCCCCCCAAGGATACTGAGGAAGCTTGCAGTGCAAATGTATACGTGCAGGTAAACCACTTACGCACATACATTTTTTAAAGGTAAATCATTGCATTTTAAAGTTCTCACAGGCTTTGGAGCTGGAAGCCACTGAGTTCATGGCCTGGTTCAGAAGGGCAGGGGTCGTTCTCACAGGAGTAGAATCAGGTCTGGATTTGGCTGTCTTCTCCCTAAGGTAATGAGGTGGTTCACAGTGTGATCCGCAGACACGCCGAAGTCTCCCCAGTGCAGCGCCAGACCACCCAATTGCTGTACCTTTTCCAGAGCAGCTGCTTCTGGGAAAGGAGATGATCATGAACATACCCAGCGCAGGCAGGGTGAGTGTGGGCCTGCTCCAGGAGGCCGTGTCCTGAGCAGGCACCGGCGTAGTTAACTTACTGCGTTTGATTGGTTTGGTTTTTCGAGACAGGGTTTTTTTTTGTTTTGTTTTGTTTTTTTTTTTTTTCTGTGTAGTCCTGACTGTCCCCGGGCCTCACTCTGTAGGCCAAGCTGGCCTTGAACTCAGAGATCCTCCTGCCTTCCAAGTGCTGGGACTAAAGGTGTACGCCACCACTGCCCAGCATCAGGGTTTTTTTGTTGTTTCTTGGAGGATGTGTCTGTGTGTGAAGGAACACATGCCACAGCACACGTGTAGAGGTCAGTGTTCTCCTTCCTACATGTGGATCCTGGGTATCAATCTCAGATAGTCAGGCACAGCAAGTACCCTTCCTGGCTGAGCCATCTTTCCAGCCCTTAGATTTCTAATTAACTCCATGAAGTAGGGGCTTCATCCTTGCTTTGCAGTCAGGGAATCCTGGGCATGAAGTTAATAAACTTCCCGCGGTAAATATCAGCTGGGTAGCCAGGCCGAGCCCTTGCTGTGCTAACTCCCACCCTGCAGACAAGACAGGGTCCTGGGTACCTACACTTGCTCTTCAGAGCTCTCCCGTGACACATGCACACTGTTTGGGGATTTCAGGTGATTCAGGCTCTGGGCCAGTTTGACCTGTGTGTTGTCCCAGATCTCCCCTGAGGCACAGGATGGCTAAGGGCAGAGATCCTGGTCAGATGATAAGTGCAGGAAGATCTGAACAGAGTGACCCAACTAATCTCCTGGGCTGGGGACCTTGGCTTCAGTCCACCCCCGGGCGTGGGGGCGGGGCATGGCTCTCACCCTGCCCTGGATCCTCTGAAAATAAGTACCCAGAGCACAGCGGAAGGCTGAGTTCAGAGCTGCTTGTCTCATGGATATCAGTGAATGTGCAGGCATGCTTGTAATCCCAGGTGCAGATGGGGAGGTAAACCGCACACCTGCCCAGGGCAGTGTCCCACTGGCCATTTCCAGGAAATGATTGGCTTTCTTTCCAGGAGAAGAAATCTAATCCTCTCCAAGGTAAAGGCTAAAGCTGTTTCTCCTTTTTCCCTTTTCCACTTGGAGCACCTTTGGCCCACGCTGTGCGCTGCTGTCAGCTGGCCTGGCAACCCTGCAGTGAAGGGTGTCGAGCATGCAAGCCAGCATGTTAGCTATGCATTAGTCCAAGTCTTCTACCTCCTTCTGAGTAGTGCTGGGCTGAGCGTTTGGGGCTCAGAGTCCGCACGCGGGAGCTGTCCAGTGATTAAGACAGATTTGCAGTCACACAGCAAGGCAGCCAGGGCAGCACCGTAGTACAGGGACAAGGGCTGGCATTGGGCCCTGCTAGGGACAAGTGTTACTTAACCCTTTGAGTCAGTTATGGTGGGAGACAGTTGCTCCTTTTTGCTAGACTTAGTCCCACACAGCTTGTTAGGTGTGTGACAAGGAGGCCCATATTCTCTTCTAGACGTAGGGAATGTGGACTGGACTTGACAGCCCGGTTCCCTTCCTCTCAGCTCGGGTGCCTGCCTAGCCTCTGAGCAAGACCAGCGGGCGGAGCGGCTGCCTCTGCCCTTCACCTGTGCCATCTAGATTCCGGGGCTGAGGTGGAACAGGTGTTGCCGCTCTTGGAAATAAGTGCTTTACATGTCCCCTGCCAGCTGAGAAGAATGACCAGTGAGAGATGTCATCTGTTTATATAACTGTTTGCGTTTGTTTGTTTGTTTGTTTGTTTGTTTTGAAATGATTTTTCTGTGTAACAGCTCTGGCTATTCTAGAACTTTCTCTGTAGATCAGGTGAACCCACAAAGATCCATCTGCCTCAGCCTCCTTAATGCTGGGATTAAGTAAAGCTGAACGCCACCACTTCCCAGTGTTTTTTTGTTTTGAGACAAGGTTTCTCTGTGTAGCCCTGGCTGACCTAGAACTTCCTCTGTAGACCAGGCTGGCCTCAGACTCACAGAGATCTGCCTGCCCCTGGCATTAAAGCAGTGTACCACATCACCCTGGAAGACTACCAGACATTTCCTCCCAAGAAAGGCTGGTGGTAAATGCTCTCTAGAGCATTTCTGGTCTCAATGTGTCGGGCTTTTGGGGAGGTGCTGGGAGCCCTTTGTTGGCAATGGGGAGTAGAACTCCTGGTGAGTTGTCCGGCTGTGCCACCAGCGAGCCACGGTCCTGGTTCTCAGCATACAAGTCATCTCAGCTGACCCCCACGCCTGCTTTTGGCTCTCACTAGGATGTACTGCTGCTCAGTCAGTTCATCCGGCCCCATGGAGGTATGCTGCCCCGGAACATCACAGGCTTGTGCCTGGAAGAACACCGAAAGATTGAGGAGTGTGTAAAGATGGCTCACCGAGCAGGTCAGAGCAATGAACGGCTTATTAATTATGATCCCCACCCGCTCCGTGTCCCTGCTCCCCACTCCTGTGGTCTATGCCCTTCAGAACTGTGGAGACTGACCCTTTGTGTGTTCTTCCACTCAGGTCTATTCCCAGATCACAGGCCACGGCTTCCAGAAGGGTCCTTACCAAAGAGTAAACCCAAGCTCAACCGGTAAGGAAACGTGAGCACAACCGGCCCAAGTACCGTAGGCCCATGGGGCTTGTCTCGTGGCTCTCAGAGCAGCCAAGTCTGCTCCATTCCCAGACAGCCCAGGCACATACATACCCACATCTTTCCCACCGGAGCTGTGCTATCTACCACCTCCCTCCCCAGTCCATGTCTCTCTCTGTTCTAGAAGGCCTTGACACGGGTAAGGAGGCTGCTGGCTGGGCATTAAAATATGTTAGTCCCTGTTGATGAGATCATGCCGCATTTCTATGGAGAGGTCAGAGCACTGCCACAAACGTCCAGTATCCCAGCTGTCTCTAGGACCAGTCATTACAGGGCCGGGCAAGGCCTTGGCCACGGAGGACTGTCCGGGATAGGGCCACCCTACACAGCATCGCATCAAGGCAGCGTGCATATAGGCTCAGTCACCACTCAGGCCCTGGAGTCCCGCAGTTCACAGCCTACACAAGTTGTTTGGCTTCTTAGCTGCCCTGCAGTCTCGGAAGAGATGCGAGTCAGCCCTCCAGCAGCAGCAGGATAGGCAGGCCTCCTTAGAGTGAGAAGCCATTCTCACCGAACATTCAGACAACTGTCCTGTTACAGGCCCCACTCCATGACATTGCCCTCTCAGGCAAATCGACCTGTACTGTCCCCTGGTCCAGAGAAGAGCCGGGTCTGTAGAATTGATCCTGTAGTGTACTGTCCCCTGGTCGAGAGAAGAGCTGGGTCTGTAGACTTGATCTTGTAGTGTCTATGTGTCCAGCGGCTCCTTGCTCCTCCAGTGTATCGAGCTGCCTCTGCTGATAGCGAGAACAGCAGATACTCTGCAGGGGGGGACTGAGGCAGAGCAAGACTCTACAGCCCCCACAGACCTTTGCAGAGATCCCTACCAGAACCCAGGTGCATGCCGGGAGGCCAGGTTGCTGTGTGGAGGGTGTGAGATGGGGTAACGTAGGCTTGCTTCTCTGTGTGGAGGGTGTGAGATGGGGTAACGTAGGCTTGCTTCTCTGAGCCTTGCCCCCCCCCCCATCCCTAGATGCTGAGCAGTGCTGGGCTGGGCTCTCTGCCAGCAGCCCCAATGAGCAAGGCATGCTCTGGTCCGTTTGGGGGTTGAGCCCACCCCCACGGTGACTTTTAAGAGACAGCAGCGAGCCTGAGGACACAATCCATCCTGCCCTCAGGCCTTTGAAGCTAGGCCAGGCTCCCTCCCTTACGTCCGGTGTCCTTTAGTGTGACACAGGATTGATGATGTGTGGGGTTCTTGAGTTGCAAAAGGCCATCCTGGGGGAGGGGAAGCCCTGGCTCAGGAGGTGCTGCACCCTGCACAAGGGATGCTGTGACTGCACCCAAAGGTCCCTCGTCTGCACTCACTCCCATGCCCTCAGCACCCTGGTGCGATGGATGGTCTCCTCTTCCACACTCTCCTGGTGCGATGGATGGTCTCCTCTTCCCCATTCTCCTGGTGCGATGGATGGTCTCCTCTTCCCCACTCTCCTGGTGCGATGGATGGTCTCCTCTTCCCCACTCTCCTGGTGCGATGGATGGTCTCCTCTTCCCCACTCTCCTGGTGCGATGGATGGTCTCCTCTTCCCCACTCTCCTGGTGCGATGGATGGTCTCCTCTTCCCCACTCTCCTGGTGTGATGGATGGTCTCCTCTTCCCCACTCTCCTGGTGCGATGGATGGTCTCCTCTTCCCCAATCTCCTGGTGCGATGGATGGTCTCCTCTTCCCCACTCTCCTGTGCACAGGGTTCAGACCAGTGCTTGCTCAGAAGGTGTAGAAAGGGGGTGATTTAGAAAAGCCCGGGTTCTGACTGGAGCTAGATGTTCACAGAGTGCTAACTGGGCGCCACCCTGCCTACCCATCAGGTGGCTGTTCTGTGAGGCACAGGCATCAGACCCAAGGCTAGCTGAAGGACAGCTGAGGACAGCTCTGGAGAGTCTATCCGCTGGGGTCTTCTGAAGTCCTTGAGTCCTGTGCATACCCTATTTCATGCGCCTGCTCCCAGACCCGTCTGCACCTCTCCCTCTCGGGACTGGGAGAGGCCAGCACCAGGGCCAGCTGTGAGTGGCCTGTGCTAAAACAGCCTGTTGTGCTATATGACCATGGAGACAGCGGCCCCTGTGCAGGCAGCGTGCCAGCCAACTGGGAAAGGCCTGTCTTCCTGCCTCCTGGGCCCAGCACATGCTGGGTCTCCCTCCTGCATAAAGCCACCAGCCGAAGACCAAGGTCCAGGGGGGCCCGGTGGGAAAGCGTGAGTCAGCAATGCTTTTTTCTGCCAGGGACTTCAGCCAAAAAGTAAATTTTCATTTCTGCCAGGAGTACTAGTTTTTAAATTAAGAAGCTTTTCCTTGAGGGTCTCTGGAGGTAGCCAGGGCAAGCCTCAACCTCCCAGAACACAGGAGGACCCTGGCCTTTGTGGCTGAACTTTGAGGATGAAGGATGGGCCTTTCTGGTGAGGAGCCAGGTTTCATTATGAACAGAGCAAATCCCAGTCATGGCGCTATGAGCCACTTTTCCAGGAACAATCCGGGCCCAGGCTATCCCCAAAGGAGGCCGGAGGAGCATGTGTGGCCTCCATCTTTCCCTGCCCTCTCCCACTTACAGGAACCCGCTGGGCTGCAACTGCACCCCTGTGCTCCCCCTTACCTCCCATCAGTTTGGGTGAGCGGTGGGGCCCTGCACCAGTGTGGTGCCCTGGAGGCTAGGGTGTCCAGAGCAGCCGAGTGGGCAAGAACCGAGCGCAGGGTCTCCCTGCCTTTACCCTTCCCTGGGCCTGGGCTGCCTGCCTCTGCCTGACCCTGACTACACACTCGTAAAAGCAAGAGCCCATCCATCTGTTTACAAAACAGCAGTTTCTTCCAGGCAGATCCTTTGCCCTTTGAGAGGCAGACTGGTGACAGAGAAGGCGCAGCCACTACAGCCTAGCCCTGGGGACAGTGCCCTCCCCCTACTCTTGCTGTCCCAGCATGCCCACCTCCTTGTGTTCCCTCTACAGCTACTTGACTCGCTGGGCTCCCAGCTCTGTCAAGCCCATCTATAAAAAAGGTCACCGTTGGAACAAGGTGGGTATGGCCGTGGGGTCGCCACTCTTGAAAGACAACGTCTGCTACTCCAGGAGGCCTTTGAAGCTGCTTCATTAATGGAGCCCTGCCCTGCGGCTGAAGACCCGGACAGCCTCCCACGCGACGCTCCCATCAGAACCACGGGGACTCGGGGACTGACTTCTGTGCCCTGCATCCCCTGGCCTGTGGGCTTCTGACTGGCTGGGGCTGAGATGGATGCAGGGCGGGAATCTTACTCAGAGAAATGTAATAAAGAGGCCCTCGGCTTCCGCGTGTGGTGGCTGTGGTGGCTTTCAGCCTTTACCTAGTGTGACTCTGCCGGTCTCTGAATGGGCCCTGTCTGTGACTGGAGTGGGGTCCGTGACCACGTGGGTGCCCTGTTCTGCCGACAGGCATCACACCCTGGTTGGGGGCCTAGTGCACGGCAGCTGTCAGTTGAGTCCAGGACCTTGAGCAGGCCCCTGACCACCCCTCCCCACCGCAGCCCCCGCCTGACCACACTTGGGGTCTCCTCCACCAGCACACTCCTGGTCGCTGCCTCTTGGTTTAGAATTAGGCTTCCTGGCTCAGTGGGCCTTTCAGGGCCATGCCACTAGATGGGGGACAAAATGACAAACATGGCAGAAGAAACAGGCCAACTTTGTTGAACTTTATGAAAACAATGTTTAGACTACACATAAATACCCGACCGCCCCTCCTACAGCATGAAGGGCAAGTCCATGTTCTTCTCACCCGTGCCCACATAAATGTAGCCATAGTTCTTGGTGCCGGGAGCGTGGTAGAAGGTGAGGCCTGGCCAGAGCAGGCTGCGCAGCACCACCAGCGCGTTGCCCCTCTCCATCTGGATGCTCCAGGACCCTGGAGGGGACAGACAGGGGTTGAGGCCCGGAGCTGAGGTGCCGCTACCGAAGCTGCTGGGCTCCATTTTGCTGCTCATTATGCCACGGAGGGAAGGTGAGGAAGTGAAATGCCAAGTTAGGCTTGGGGGGAGGCAGAGTGGCTCCTCTCCCTTGCGCCGCAGTATAATCACCGTGACCTTGAGCCTCTTCTGGGATGGGTGAGACAACTAGGAGCTCACGCTGAAGTTGGGCCTCCCGCCTCAGTGGCCTTCCTAACTGCTGGTGGGTGGGGCCGTGCTTGGTGGAAGGGAACAGCAGCTGCTGAGTGCCCCGTGCTACTCCAGACAGCAGCTCAGACCGGGCCTAGCTGTGCAGCCAGAAGGACTTGGCTGGAAGGGCCTGATCCAGCTCCAAGGGAGGGAGCCGCTGTGTGGGAGGAAGGAGCCTGGGAAAATCGCCTCTGGATGCAGATCTGGGGCTTCTATTCCCCTGCGCACCGAGGCCTCTCCCCCAAGCAGCCACAGCCCTGCTCTGGGCCCTGCCAGGAAGACAAATACTTTTATTGAAGGTTTTGGTGCAGGACCAACCAGTTATGCTCTGAGGGCTGTTCTGGGGCCTTCATCAGTTGCCAACTCAGCCCCATTGCTGGCTCCTACCACTTGAGCTCCCCGCAGCCTACCTCCAACCATGGCCCACCCTGGTCACTCCACACCCAGCAGCCTCACAATCCCCACCCTCTGGGGGCCACCCTGCATCCACAGAGCTGGTCCCTGCCGCTAGCTGTCTGCCCAGGTCAAACAAAACCAGAGCTTTCTGGAAGCACTGGAGGTCTGTCGCTCCCGTCCTGACAATGAGGTGGAGACTATACCATGGGCTTGTCACTGTCATCGTCAGAAGGAATCAGAACACGCTGTATAACACCCTGCGTGGAATAGCGCCTGGCCAACAGCCGTACCCTGGGAACCTCAGAACCTTGGTGGCTTTCTTGGTCACAAGTCTTCAGAAAATACTATTTGGGGGAAGATGAGGATGGAGTATGACTGGACAAAGTGTTTCAGGGCCACTGTGTCTGGTCCTTGACAACAGGCCCAGGAATATAATGTTCTCTAGCCTAGTGGCCCTAGCAGGACCCAGAGCATCCAGAGACCCGGTCCCTCCTTGCCCTTGGAGCCTACAGCTTCACAGCCCCCTTGAGATAGCAAGACCAGACTGATCGCTCTGCCCGCCCAGGGAGGCTGGCTTGCAGCATCCCTCACCCAAGTGCTAGCCTGGAGAAAACAGCCTAGGGTCTACCCTATCCCCACTGCAGTCAGAGACTCATCAGTTCAGCCAACAGCATGGTGGCATGGGGCCCTCACACTGGCGTGTCTGCCACCTCTTGCTTCCAGTAGATGGAGAACAGAGGTTGGGTTGAGTGACCCAGGCCCAGTAACATGGGGAAAACTGTGAGGAAGTTAGAAAAATACAGAACCCAAGGAGTTCAGGGCCAAGCAGGCCAAAGGGTGCTAGCCGAGTTGCAGCATGCCAGGGGCCAGCCTCCAGCCTTCCCTTGCATTCCTGTTATCCTCCGTCCTCTCATCCTTCCTGGCTCAGCTCATCATCTAAAACACACGTACACACACGCGCGCACGCACACACACACACTCCCTCTCTCGTGCGTGTCAGTAGACACATGGCATGTATCGGAGGAGCCAGGCACTCACTGTCACCATCACCAGTGTCTCAAGTGCAAAGATGGAAAAAACTGGGCCCGGCCCTTTGAAGGTAGAAAGTAGCCTGGTGAGGCAATTCACAGCCCAGGTCTCTCCCAAGTGTCCTAAGACCTGCCTTCCTGGCTTCCCGTGGCTCTCCAAAACACCTGTGCTCTGAGGCTGGCGAGAGCAACCAACTCCAGAACTCAGCAGCGGGCCTGTGCAGGAGGTCCTCCTGGGTTCCCCGATCCCAGGGTCTTATGCAGCTCCCCAGGCTAAGGTGGACTGACCTTTACACCCTCCCACCACCCCACCCAGGGGTAAAGTGAGGATCGGATTCCAGTCAAGCTGTCCAGTGCGGCGACAACAGGTAGCCCAAACCCAGTCCCTAAACTTCATTAGGAAATGCCAGGGAGGACTGGAGAGGGGGCGCAACAGTTCAGCGCTCTGCTGCTCTTGGAGAGGACCTGGGTTTGATTCCCAGTACCCACCTGATGGCTTACAACCACCTGCAACACTTCTGGCCTCCATGGACACCGGGGGGCGGGGGGAGGGCATGTGTGTGGTAGGCAGATACAGATGCAAGTGAAACACCCACACATAAAAAATGATCCTGGGTGCCTGGTGGGAGACGCCACCATCCCCCCTTACCGCAAGGCAGAGTCAATCATTCTCAAGGTTAGAACAGATGGAAAAGATGCCCCCGGTGACAGCCACCATGTAAGTAAGCACTGGGTGTCAGGACCCGTGGCCAGCCAAGCTTACAGGAAGAGCCATCTGCACGCTCACTCATAAGGCTGATTCCATGTTGCCCATACTCTTCAGGCTCCCTATAACCATAGATCCCCACCCTTTAATCGCCAGCTCTATGCCAGCATTTGAAGGCCAGTTCCAGGCTACAGGACTCTTGCTGCCCTCTGCTGTCCAAACTGGGCATTGCCACTGAGTGCTCGCGATTGGGACCCCGACCAGGATCTGGCCCTTCCTGCCACCTGCTGCCTCTTCTGGCCACTCCTCTGTGCTCCTGACACCTTCCAGGTGTCAGTCACTCTCCTCAAAGGGACCAAAGGGGCTGTCACACAGCAGATGCTCCATGCTCCGCAGACAGAGTGAGAGGTCAAGGAGTATCGAATGGTAAAGAGTCACTGAGGAATCTGACTGCCTGACCCATCTGTCTTCCTGGTGCAAACCCAAGGTCGGAGGAGTCTTAGCCAGTACTCTGAACTCACCAGGAGGAGGAGCCTGCCAGGGGTCCATCCCCACAAAACTGCCCATCCCAGGGCATTACGTGGCAGCTCATTGCCAAGATCCTGGCCTCAGGCACCATCCCTCCCTCCCTCCCTCTCTTTCACCCAGACTGGTCCAGAGGGAAGCAGCTCGTTTGGTCAGAGAGAATCTGGAAGGAAACCAGGATTGTATCTGATAAGTGAGATCCATCCTGGCCCTATTCACTTTCCTTCTGGTCCCAGAAGCCACCTGTCCACTACTATAAGCCCACACTCAAGGTGACTTGGCTGGGGTGTCCCCATGGGGTGGGATCCAGCTGCTGGGGGAGGCATCATCCACCCCTGGCACTGCGCTGGCCCTGAGGCAGCCTGAGGTCTCTCTTACCCCTTCCCTGCCCTCCCGTGCACATTGCCTTATGGTGTGATAGATGTATGGAAGATGTGCTCACAGACGTCCAAGCCTCCCTCCCGCTCCTCCCTCCAAAGCTTTCCGGCAACTCTTGAACCTGCCTCAAATCATCTCTATGGCTTTTTTGTTTTTTGTTTTTGTTTTTTTTTTGGGGGGGGAGTTCTTTTTTTGCCACTAGAAATATTTTAATTGTGGTTTTTGGCTGAATCGGGTAGCGCACAGTGCTCAAGAGGCAGAGGCAGGTGGATCTCTGAGTTCACAGCCAGCCTGGTCTATAAAGTGAGTTCCAGGACAGCCAGGGTGCCACAGAGAGACCCTGTCTCAAATAATAATAATAAATAATAATAATCAGGGTTTCATGTAGCTCTGGCTGGCCTAGAATCTACTAGGATTACATTAAACATCCGACTCTCCTACCACATAGCACCTTGTTTCAAAGAAGCAAAGGAGAATGGGTCTTACCAGAGGTGGGGGGAGGGGTGGATAAAAGGAAGCATGGAGTAATTTATGTTATCAATAGAAATAGAATGACAGTAGGTAGGAGAAATAAATTTAAAGGGTCTATTGTAAAACATGGTAACTGTAGCTAGTGGTGAACATATATGGATGGAGATATACATGGGTACAGATGTATAAATACAGATACCAGCTGTCTGAATGAGTCCTGGATTACAGGTCTACACCACCACAGCTGGCTTTATATTCTACTCCTAGGAAACACAATGATAGCAGACAAGTGTGCTCCTTGCAAAAAAACAAAAACTAGCTGGGCGTGGTGGCACAGGTCATTAAGTCCAGTACTCAGGAGGCAGAGGAAGGCCAAACTAGTCCACAAAGCAAATTCCAGAATAGCCAGGTCTACACAGGGAACCCCAGCTCAAAAAAACAAACAAGCATACAAAAGCCAAACAAACAACAGAACAAAACACGTTAAAACTTGGTTGGAGGAGGTGCTAGAGAGATGACTTAGGAGTTAAGAGCA